AGTCAGCAAGTGTACCACATGAGGGCAGTTTCAGAACACTCCATACAAAACTGATGTAAAGTCATTTCAGAGGTTCTGCATCATGCCAAATATAACTTAGGGCTTATAATTCTGCAAGGAAGAAAGACATTGATATCAAAGGCATGCAGAAAACTGAAGGATCACTGCAAAAGTCAAGAAAAGTTTTTTAAAAATGTAAGTGCCTCCAGATACATCAGTTTTCAACATAATCTGCTTATCAAAAATATCAGGACAAGTCTCAAGACAGGCAGTCTTTACAATACCTCCAGTGCTATTTATCATTTTTATTTTTCCAGAACCTCAAAATATATAGAAATACAAGTTTACAACTTTTACTTTTTACGTACTGGATTAAAAACTCATATTTAATTATATGAGTCAACTCAAATTCTATATGGTCAACTCAAATTTTACAGTTAAGGATAATATTCCATAAGCATCAAGGCGAGGTAACTCATTCCGCACGAAGGATCCAAGTGCTACAGATCCCATCCAGCTCATCGAAGCATGGTGAATCTCAACTTGGTAGTCTTCCTGCACTTCCTGATACTTCTGTTGATATGATTTCCTCAACCAATTCACATAGGAACCAAATCTTGTTCTGATAACCATTTTATATTTTTTGAAACCTTGAGAACTATCCCTTGAAATGGCTGCTAATTTTATATAGGTAGTTTTCTAATTTTGCCAAGTATTAATAATACATAAACTGAATTCTCCTGGAAAATGTGAAAAGTTAAAAGAATACTGTAGCAACCCCTCTTTCAGGACTAACCCCTTTATTAATTAGACTGGAGTTCTGATATTCAGTATGGGCCTTTGTTTGGCTTAAAGGCTCTTCAAGTGTGCTATGTACAACATAGGGAGTTAGACATTTTGCCGATTAGCCACTTCAGAACTAAGTTCTGACAATGCTAAAAGGTGCAGTAGAAGAGTTTAACACTGAGCAATGATCAGTTCACTCTAAAAAAGTACTGGTACAAAAAAAGGAACATGGTTATTTTAGGTACAAAAGCCTGAGAGTTTACAGTTCTTGTAAAAATAAATGACCTGACAGTTGCTTTCAAAGGTGTGGGTTGTTTGCAAGAGAAATCTCAGCTTTTTTGTGAGTCATTCTGTTGAAAATAGCAGTTAATGAGCAGAAGAGCCACACAAGCTGAGTTGGGACTGAAGCTCCAACCTCTAATTGTGTGAGATGAGCCATATTGAACTTAATAGGATATACTGTATTTTGGATAGGAGCTTGAGTTTCGAACTCCGAACTAATGGATGCATGTATTTGCTTGATTACATTCCAACTTTCGTCTGCCAGGTTCCAATAACGGAAACAAAAATAACTCAGAAGGACTGACTATTTGTTTACTTTCAAAGAATCACCATGTTGAATTTCTTACCTGGATTCTCTGCAAAACTCAAATATAAATTCGGGATGGAAGTCACTTTTGAGTTTACATAACATATGTCTGTACACTAGTTAACAAGTGGTCTATGGAGGAGTGAGGTAAAACCAGTATACTTGTGCATTCACCAAATTTGTGGCATTGTGTGAACATGTTGTCAAGGTTCCAAGTAATATGTCCTATTCAATAAGAACTCTGAGGCAAGCATCTTCCTCAAATAACATTTTATTGGAACATATCAAATTGGCATTTTCTTGGTGAAAAATTGGCTCTAGATTCCAACCGGTTTTACACCCAATTAAAAGTAAAACTTTACATTTCCCCCCAGTGACCCATCACATGGTCCAATCAGCATGTAGTCCAGTTGCTAGGTGACCTCAGTCTCCACCATTCAAATATCTGCACCAACGTCCTTGATTCCCAGGGGAAATAGTTTTATTTTGGCTACAACTCCCCATTTATCTCTATGCCCCACTTCCTGTCCCCTTCGCTCCAGGCTGTGTCAGCCCTGAAGCTGTGAGAAGAAGAAACTCTGTAGAGAAAAATTACAAAAGAAAATGGCCACAGTTCGGCCACCTTCAGTGTTGACATGTGTATAAAATCAAACGAGGAGAGTAAACAAGCTGGGGATTTATTACGAACACAACCCAATGTATATTCCCAAGATTATTGATATACTCTGGCACAGGGAACTAAAGGGGAACAACGGGTAGCTGTTTTCAATATATATTATAGAAAAAATAACAGTTAAGTTTGGATGACTGCAACAATCTAGTGTGGGGTATAAAATAGCCTTGCTTTATGATCAAAAGAGTGCTGTTTTGAATCCAGCTATGCCTTCATCAATCATGTTCCAAGGAAACAACTAGCAAGTGTTCCATTAGAATTGATGCTGGGATACGGAAAAAAATAACAGTATATTAGAATATGACTCTACATATCCCATTCAAAATGTTCATTAGAAAATAGGATGTAAGCAACACTGAAGAAGCTATGATAAAAGTGAGAAAGTTAATGGCATACCAGCCTCCTTATAGTAATATTTATCAACAGATGACTAAGCTAGTATGTTTTGTCTTGTAGACTCCAAATGGGTTACTGTTGACCCCAAGTCCACTGCTTTCTAGTATTCACTTTTGGAGCAGCCTCAGTCCTATTGCTCCCTTGAGTCCTGCCAGACTGCAAGGACCAAACACCTTGTTCCAGGTAAGTTGGTGCATGTTGTCTCAGACCAATCTTTGCCATTGGGAACAAAACAGATATAGGAAATATATAACAGTTAAACCCTTTGCTCAAGAAACAAGAGCTTCAGCTTTAGGGTGAGACATATTATAAACTGTGATTATTCAATGCTTGGCAAACATATGTAACTTCTCTGAAGCCAGGAGACAAGGACATCAGTGCTGCAGTAAAAATGGCTCTGATCCAAAGTTGTTCATTATATTGCTGGTAAATGAATTAGGATCTAATCTGCTGATAGTATAGTGTACACATCAGAATACTTTCCTGATAAAACATCAGCTGCAATATTTCATTATAAATGAAATAAAGAAATGTTGACAATTTTTAGTACATAATGAAATCAATGAAAAAGACCACAAAGAATTTTGATGATTGCTTAGAAGGTTAATATGTCTTATCTGAAACCGCAATCTTTCAGTAACAGGCATTGAACATTGTATTAGAAAAGCTACTATCAGTCTCAAGGATTTGACAGCTATATGGGTGACAGCTATATGGGTCCAAGGCACGCTCTCTTAATCTCTTATCAAAGAAGAGAAAAGTGTCATTGTAAAACTGTATCTACACATGAATTTGCCCTTTTGGCTGTACTTGACTGACAAAAGGAAAACAGAAAATATAAGCAGCTTTGACTAATATTAATGGTTCCTAACAGTGATAGAGGGACTCTGGATCTGTTATAGCAAGCAAATGTCCCTGGCTGTTGAGAATGAGTCCATAGGGATTTAACTGACCTCGATTAAAATTAAATGTGGTTTACTCTGATGGGTCAATGTACCCATCAGAGTGTAAAGACCATAAAGACCATCCAGTCAATTACATGGTCTGAATAGGGGTAATAAGACACTTAATGGAGAGTAGTGCCATCTGCAGCAGTTGATCAAAAGGGTCCAGATGGTGCAATAGCAAGCTCATCCCCATGCATGCATACTGTGCAGATGTACATTCAAGAGGGGCACTTTAACTGCATTTCCACGACTGCCATCTTGATTTTTTTGACTGCCCCGTGCAGACAAGACTGATGAAAAGAGAGCAGTGACACTGTCCCAACTTGTGGCAACTGTGATTCTCTTAATACAGTTGCCCATGTGTTCAAAACTTCTTTTCTCATGTGATGCCAGTACCCATGAATTAATAGTTATTCTGGAGAGCTTTTGACTGAATTAACTATTGTGGCAACCAAGACCCTAAAAAAATTTCATTGGATTAAATAAATAAATAAATAAAAAAGTTGGTCATGGACTTCCTACAAGAATTGAGAAGAAGCTTTTATGGATTGAGATTAGCAGAAGTAGCCTATTTCTTTTATGGTGTTTTGTCTCTGTAGAGAGAGTTGCAGAGAAAGAAGCAGGGAGAAAATCAGGTCTCTCCTCTTTATAGTATTTTCCAAATGAAATACGATTAGAGGAGATTTTTAAGCCTCCCCCTCCCCCTTTCATACAATGCTTGAAGAATTTAAATAATAGTATCATCTACCCAGATAGTCTTATTTAGTGGGTAAGTGCTCTGAAATGTAAATTCAACCTGATGAAGGAGGAAAAGGAGATCCAAGTTTCCACCACCCTTAGAACTTGCTTTGTTCATTCTACCAGTAGTCCTTGACTTTCAACCACAATTGAGCCCAAACTTTCTGTGCTAAGTGAGACATTTGTTAAGTGAGTTTTGCTTCATTTTACGACCTTTCTTGCCACAGTTGTTAAGTAAACCAATGCAGGTGTTTAACTTAGTAACACGATTGTTAAGTGAATCTAGCTTTCCCACTGATTTTGCTTGTCAGAAGTTTGCAAAAGGGGACGACATGACTCCAGGACACTGCAATTGTCCTAAATATGAGTCAGTTGCCAAGGGCCTGAATTTTGATCACATGACCACAGGGATGCTGCAATGGTCATAAGTGTGAAAAACAGTCTTAAGTCACTTTTTCCATTGTTATTGTAACTTTGAACTGTCAATAAATGAACTGTTGTAAATTGAAAACTACTTGTACGTGCTTGGCTTTCCAAAGAGAAGTGACGAATGGTATCACTTCCCGTCATCTGCTCCTTCAACTTTATCCCTGAACTCTTCTCAAAAATGGTGTAATGCTGTTTCCAAAAACAAAGACATGTTATTTTGTCACAAACACTACCTGCTTGAATCCATTTATTTTGAGTTGATGTACAGGTAAAACTACTTTCGTTTCCCAGCATAGTGGGTAGAGGTGATTCTGTGGCAGCCAACTGACGTCAGTGGCTCAGGTTAATTGGCAGAGCCTCTGCAGATGGTAATTAACTCATTCTGGATCTAAAAGTTTGTGTGTCGTTAGGATAATGAGAGACTTGTTCAGAGCTGCAGTTTACCAAGCAACTAAGGTAGAAATAATAGCAAGGAAATACAGTTGAAATTCATCAACACCTTACACACGCTTCTCCATTTGAATTCATGCAGTTACTTGTTTGCTTAGTATTTATAGCTGCACTGAATGACTTGAGGGAAACCCCCTAGAATCCTTCACATCCAGGCACAACAGCAAAAGGAGCTCTTCTAAAGAGCCAACTCTGACATAGCATGTCAAATACAAAGCTTGGATGAGTCAAGGATAGACAAATTGTGGCAATTTACAAAATTGTTAGTTGGCTCAGCAAGTAAGCTCCAACCTACTGGGCAAATCTCTGCAATGAATCAGAGCTCTTTATTTTGTTTGTAAAAGGAATTTAGGAGCGTCTTTTAAATGAGTTGCTAGAGATGCATTCCTTCAGCCATATTCCCTGGATTTCTAGAAGTGAAACTTTTGCCCATGGAACACTATAGTATATAATCTGTGGAGAATTTAAATTGTGTATGACCATTTATTTTTAGATTCCAGATCACTCCTTGCTTTTAAAATAGGACAGAAAATCAACAAGAGCCACTGGAAAGTCCAAAATATTCCAAAGGTGATATTTGTTACAGAAAAGGAATGTGATAACTATTCAACAGCTTCCCCAGTTTTATTGGTTAAGAAATGGATGCAAGAGTAATCTAGTTTAGACTCTAACTAGATCACTGCAACCTCTGCTGCTTCTGTAATGCAAAGTTCATGCTTAGATATTGAGGAACTGACATAGAAAAGCATGTACATCTTGAATAAAGTAATTAAGAATAGCTGTATTTAATAATCTGTTTTTCACTATGTAAAACTTAGTTATACACTATGTTGTACACAGCCTGTTCTAAAGTTGCAATGATTTTTTAATAGTAGAACTATTAAATAATACTAGAACTATTACACTAACTCTATGTCAGTCTGACAAATATTCCCTTTACTGATTGTTTAAATTTTTTTTACCTGTAAAGTATTAAAACATTTACATTTTGCCATAATATAATGGCAAAATGGGCAGTTTATATAATAGGATGTTATAAATTGAATGTATTTTTTTTCAAAGTTATAGGAGCACTTGCTGTTAAAAAAAAAGAATTTCCTTTTTCAGAGTATTTCGTACAATACAGAAAAAAAGTCAAATCTGTGAAATTTTAGCTTGTGCTGCTTCATACTGCAAACAAGTATGAAACTGAACGTTACACCTTGTAAAGGATTTGTCAAGTGTAGTAAATGAGCACCTGAAGACTCAAGAATGTTAACTAATATCTGGGAATTTACAAATCAGGCCTTAATTTACCCCACCTTTAATCTGGGAGAATCTAATTCCCAGCTGCTCACAGCTTGTGGGTGTTGAGTAGCATAGACGCCAAAATCAGTCAGTTTCTCAGTTTCAAGATTCCTAATAATATTTTGGGCAGAGAACTTTGAACTTTGCCAAGAGAACAGCCACAGGGACTTTGCATTAAGCTATCATGCCTTGGTTTATCAGAACAAATGCATTAAAAAAGGGGGATACAAAATACAGAGTTATCTTACTAATAAAGGAGAATATTTATAGCTGAGAGTTTGATACGAGGGGTCTTTGGTGCTCTCTGAGGTTGTTTTCTTGCAGAAGTTTCATTATCCCCAAATCATCAGTGGTAGTCATCTCAGAGCACGGGTGTCAAACTCGCGGCGTCACGTTGCCATCATGTGACATTTCGTGATCTTTTTTCCCCTTTGCAGAGCTGGGGTGGGTGTGGCCTGTGTGTGTGACGCATCTGGCCTATGGGCCACCACTTTGACACCCTTCTTAGCTACTAAGTGGTTTTTGCATCCTCCCTGAAGATATATTCTAGTAGTTCCACTACAAATACCTTTTGATAGCCAAATTCAAGTTACATTTTAGAACTTGTTTGTTCAGAAAGATGCTGGCTTTAATTTAGTTCCCACAATGACTCTGGACAGAATTGTGCTTCCACTGAAAGAAAATGCCCATGACTTGGCTGGAGTGTGTGAGGTGTTTTATGGCTCTTGCTAGAGCAAAGGAACGCTAGAACCTTTGCTCAGTTTTGGTTGATGTGCCAGTTATAGTCCTTACTGGACCAAAAAGCTGTTGAATATAAGAGTTCTTATAATGTGCTCTATGTGGGAGTGCTTTTGAGACTGACTCAATGCAATGAATAGGCTGCTGGTAGGCAAGTACAATTTAGTATGTATTGGTTGCATAAAAGCTTCTAAGCCCAGTAAAGTGTGGCACTGGGTATTTGATTGTAGTCTTTTTCAAAATAATTTTTTCTGACCTTTGAGATCATTGAGAAAGATATTAAAGTTCCATCCCTTTGAGTTGAAGGGGACAAGCTTTGCCTATAGTAGACTTAAGTCACTGGAATACCTTGCCTCCAATTTACTTCTTGGTCCTTTTCTTGATAACCTTCTGGAAATATATGAACATCATTTTATTTGGGCTTTCAATGAGTAGTGGTGTCCTGAACTACTACAGTATTTTTGAAATTTATTTTGTTGTCTGTTTTTAAGCTCTAAACTGTTCTGAATCATGGGCCTGAGGCGATATACAAGCCATTTAAATAAATCAAATTAATTTAAAATAAATTAATTTATTAAATATTAATAAATTAAAAATATTAGTCCTTTTGAGGATTATTTGATTTTATTAGGCATTCATTATTGTCTTGAAGATTAGAATGCCTCACAGAACATATGGACATGTTTGCATTGTTAATTCTTTTCAATTTTATTATTTCTATGATTTTTTTTATCATATTCTGAATGCTAAAATAAAACGATGTGCACCTTATTCATCAGCTTTGAGGTGTTGTTACTCTTGCAGATTCATGTGCTTCTTTCCCAACCCAATGTTATATACGAACCTGTAGTTCTGAGATTTATTTTAACTTAATTCATTTACAAAAAGAAAAAAAAACATTTGTCAAACCTCAGATTGATATAAATTTATTTTAGAATAAAATGAAAAAGTATTAGCTTACTCAAAAATCACGTTTCCCCCCACCCCCCATAAGAATCTATGGGTTCTCACAAATATTATGTGCTTTCCCCGAATGCTTTCTTCCGAACCATCTCATATTCATCCAATGCAAAATGAGTGATGTTTAACTTCGATCCTCTGATGCGTCTTTTTAAAAGTAATTACTTTACTTGTACCTGCTACAATTAGCAGTCTCCATGTATCATTAAAAACAATGTTTGAGAGCTTACACATATAATGCAAATGTGACATTTTCCAATGCTTTTTTTTTTACAGTTTCCAACTCTGCTAAATGGTCACATCCCAATGCAAATCCCCAGCTTGGATGGGGCCTCTTCTCCAGTTCTCCTTTCTCCAAATGCTCATAAATCCTGATGTCTCAACAAACTGGGGACTCACTAATAAACTGGATTTGACACAGCCATTCTGATGGGTTTCATTTTTCTGGTAACGCCAGGAGGACATGATGAAACTCTTTTACTATGGTTTGCACTTTCCATTACACAAATGACCTACTTGTATGGTGTTTATTTAGCATTTTTATACATTGAGGGTTTTTTTTGTATAAGAAATCTTTTGTGCATTAAAACAACTTATAATTTTTATATCCTGCTCTCCAAGTGTTGAACACTGTTAATGAAGTTATCTTTAATACATTTCTAAACAATATGTAAAGGATGTGAAATGTTTTACTTCTGTACTTCTGTGTATTATGCATCCTGCTTGTATAAACTATAACCGGCTGTGCCTTCTTTTGCATAATGTTATATAAATGATTTATATATTTTCCAGTATTAAGATTAAGGTTGGAAAGAACCAAGTATTGAACACTTTTCTCCCCATCCTAGTATTCCAGTATTCCCCTTATGGTCAGCCATGTGGTGCAGTATATTCATGTAATTTTGAATTAAGCGCTTTCCAAATATATAAAGAATATTTTTGTTTACTTCCTGAACTGACAGGCCATAATATTTTGACCTGTGGGTTAAGAATAGAACACTATTTAGACATTAGTGCTTGAATTCTTCTGAAACAGTAATATGGTCTTAAAATACTTGCAACATATTTTAGGGGCATTTTTTAAATTGGAGGGAATAACCTTATTCAGTGCCACTATCTTTGTATATAAAGCCGATTGTTAAAAGAGATGTCAATCTAAAATTTATTTTTGTGAACAGGTAAAATTCTCACGTGCTTCTTATCAGGGATGGAGAAAAAGTATCTCCAGTGGTGCATGGACCAAGGCTTTAAGACTTCAACATTTTTGATTTTTCAAAAAATATTTTAGTAATTCTTACAAAAATGAAAGTCTAAAAAGATGACAGGTGCCTCTCCATACCTGGGAAATAAATACCATAATACCCAGAATAAGTTTTCAGTGATTTTTCTCTCCTCCCCCGCAACCCCCTTTGTACTAACCTTATATTGAATATTGTGATTAAAAATTATCCAGATTCTTGGTCTCTTTAGTAGGCTAGAATTCTGAAAGCAGAAAAGAGTTTGCCACTTCCTAGAGTATCATGTCTGGTTCCCTGATGATGAAATATAAAACAAAATAAAACTGAGTATAATGTGGGTTGTAGTAGAGAAGCAGCCTCTTAGCTGTAATTTGAAAGATAACCTATACATGCACATTTTATGAAGACATTAACAATATTCAAACAAAACACATTCAGATTAAAGAATTCAGATTTATGTCATATTTTCAAAATCAATGAAAATATCCTCTGTGCTCCAGCTTTGGCAAAAATGACAAATCCTCATGTACATTTTGAAGTTAAAAATATGAAGCAAAACTTAATACAACTGATTTTCACTTCACATTCTGTTTCACAAGATTTACTTTCCTTCTTTGAGAGAACAAGTTTCTGCTATTTGAAGAATCCACTGATTTCTCAGACTTTTTGCTTGATGAAAATCAGTTGTATTAAGTTTTGCTTCATATTTTTAACTTCAAAA